ATTTGTTACAAGGGTTTCCAAATACAGCTGGGAGGCAGCTTTGTTCACATCCTTCTGAAAATGGGCTTTCATCATCCGTAAAGCAGAACACTTCTACCAGTGAAGGCAGCAGTGAAGCTGTTCACGTTACATTCCATCGGAAGCGTTATTTTCATACGCATGGCATACTTGAAGCAGAATGAGATTCTGAGAGAGACCTGGTGATCCCCCTCAATCAATATTCTCAACCACTGCTTAACTGCTTGAAAAAATACTGGAATCCATTTGACTCAGAAGCAGCCAATTTTGATACACTTTATTAAATTTGCTTCCTAGTGCACTTTTCAAAGCAGATGTTGCCAAGAGTTTGACTTGGTCTGCAGTGTCAATGAACCAGTTTTGATACAGGGTTATATCAGAGTCCTACTGTCCTGGGTACTATCCTACGGTATACAACCATAAATTGCTTTCCCAGTACACATTCTAAGTGGCCTTTGCAAATTATCCATCTAGGACCAGTATATACCTTCTGTTTGCTTCATTGTGTGCAATGGAAAATATTAATAGATATTTCCTTAAGAATAAATAAATGTAATGCTTGTGAAAGAAGAAGACTGGCACTATTTGGAAGCTGAATGCCGACTTACAGATGGAAAGACCTATTAGATCATTCCTTCCTCTCTTTGCCAAGACAGGAATGTTTTCTAAAGAACATTTCATACTCTTCTTCCTACTCTAATTTTAATAACATAAGTGCTGGAGTTTCTATCACTTTCCTTGAGATTCTATTCCACATAAACGTTGCTTAAGTTCAGAAATATTCATTTTTGAGAACACCTTGGAAAAACTCGTAGCTGCTTTGTACAGCAAGCACAAGAGACTGGCATATACAGATAGTGGTGTGAGGCAGAGGGGCATTCAGCACTGGGCGAGGTGTGGGTAGGAAGCATGCAGCTCTAGAAAGAGCTGTCAGTGGGCTGATCATTTATAAGTTTGCTAGCTGTAACAGACATGCACGTAATGCCTACCTGGCATTCATCTGCCCATAACCACGTCCTATCTAAGTACATCAGCTGGACTGATAAAGCAAGAATCATTTGTCTGTTTTAGTTACCTTAGAGTGGAATGAATCATGCCCTAAAAAGGTCGATTTCTCACTAATAATTTTTAAATGAGTCAGTAAGCAGAGGGTCAGACTTAGACAACCATGCTGTTTATGCCAGTAGTTGTGTCAGAAAGGTGAGGCCCAGCTCATTTGCCCCATGGGAGCTTGGGTTCTTCCTGTAGGCAGCTATATGTACATACCTCAACTTCAGCATATTAATTTGGGAGATGAATCCCATCCCCACAATTAAAAGTGAGCTGAATCTCATTCTCTGTGATTGTGTTTGCACAAGTACCCTCTACGTGCCTTCCTTCCTAATTCCTCACCTATTTTGCTTTAGCATTGTGAAAGGCACAAAAAAGTTGAGCCCAACAGTCTGGGTAGGAGCTAGAATGAAGTGTCCTTCCAGAATGCTCTTGTTCTCCTCCCCGAGCCCCATGGATCAAAAGCTTCACCTTGAGACACAAGAAGCTGCAACATCCATGCCTGGATTCTCCTTAGTTGAATATAGCCTGCATAGAAAAGCTCAAGGCTTTACTTTAAATAATAATTTACATAATGTTTTGAAATTAAGGAGGCTTACGAACAGTTTGCTTGAACAAATTTATTTAAATAACAAAGAGCTCATTGACTCTTTCCCACTTTACCTGACACGTACCTTGCTAGCAAAAAAAGAGCAGCTGAAATCCTATTTGGAGAGCAGTAACAGCACCCAGGCATAGCTCTGTCAGAAGGATGCTGATTTACATCGTGTGATCAGTAGATCTGCTCTGATGGATTACGTATTTTGTATCTTTATTAACTGCACATCATTTTCACATTCTGTTCCAGTCAGCTTGTGACAGATAACTGTTTTTTAGAATCAGAACTCGAGGAAAAGAAATGTCAATGTGGAAAAATAAATACATTACTCAAGCTTCTTGAAAGTATTGAAGTCAATGACACATCAACTTAAATTGGTGAAATCATGGTGGGTAGCTTTAAATAGAAATGTTTTTGAAGTAGAAATATCACAAAGCATTAGATATTTTATACGTTTGAGTTAAATTACTATTAGAAAAATTATTACTGTTATGTTTTCATTACATATTGAGCTGGATCTGTCTTCCTTTGAAGTCACCAGGAATATTAACATCAATTTAATTAACTCGAAGCAAGATTTAGCCCAGAAGGAGTTGTTTTACTATGAATAAAGGAGAAAATGAAGTCTGAAGTCTCAGCATTTCCAGCAAGGCACTGAACTCTGATCCACAGAGATACTTAGATACCTATCTTGCCCTAGACTGGAAATAGGCAAGGAAGTATATTTAAGAGCCTGCATCTCATTAGCTGATTCATATTGAATACAAAAGGTATTCAGAGTTTCCCAGGAGAGAGAGGTGAATAATGGGTACAGCAGTGTGAGAAAACAGCACTATAAAATCACAATTGTAAAAAGAGTATCACAACCTTTGCAACTATGAGGGCTGGTTTTGGTTTTCCAACACTCATTGTGAACTATGGGAACTTAACCCTGCTCTTCAACAGCTCTGTGCTGTTAACATAACTGTTAATGAACTCACCATCAGTGGACTGCGTTCAGTCTTAGACTTTGTGTGGTACTTCTAACAACCACTGACGTAGACTCAAAGGTGCCACCAGCTGGAACACCTTAGTTAAAGCAAAGCTAATCAGAGGCACAGTTACATGAATAGGATCAGAATCTAGCTCAGTATCAGTGTAGAGGCTGTGACTGCTCAATGAACGACTCAGATTACTAATAAATTACTCTTCTTGCTGCTTTCTTGAGTCTCAAAGGAAAACTAAAGTATTGCCAGGGCAGCTTTCAATTGCCAGACTTTATTTCATACATTATATAGATCTATGCGTGCCAAGGTGACACAGGAATATTATTAAAATGTTTTACCCATTTCCAGAGAAATAGATGGATGGAATGAAAGGAACGTCCCCCTTACCAGTTGTATCTGAAATGGGAATGTGTCAAACAAAATCTCTTTCCTCTTTCATTCGTCTTCTGTCTGCATCTGGAACTTGATTCGATCCAGAGTACACTATTTCAGTTCTGTCCCCGTGGTATCACTCCAGTTTTTTCCCTTTGTATATTTTACAAGTCTTCTGTTATTTAGAAAATTATTTAATGATGAACTCTGAAATGTCATCGTATCTCAAATTACTTTCCTTGTGTGTTGCATTTGTGGAGGTACTCAATGATTCTCTTTGCTCATTATTCTCTCCCACTCAAAAACCCACAGAATGAACCAGGGGAGGAAATTTTCCTTGGGATCCTCAAATGCTATGCCAATGGAGCCGAGTGTTCAAACTCAATTGCTAGAGAACAAGCCTCATGGTATGCCCAAACCCTGCAGCTCTCAAGGAAACACAAAGCCTTAGAAATTTACCAAAAGGCCAGAGCAAACTCTTCAAAGGTTCTGTGTCCCCATAGCCTGGCTCCCGCTGGCCTTGTCTTGAATTCACTGTATTTGTGTTACAAAGGTTCTCTGTAGGCACAGATCTCTGAATTGCCTTTGCTGCAAATGAACAGTGTAACTCCATGTCTCCTAAGCCCTTCTACTGATTGACTTCAGACTTTCCAGAAAAGTTCTAGTTCAGGATATAAAGATGTTCTATGGTAGGAAACAGGATAATTTTTACCTATTCCAGTCATCACTGCTGGCTTGTCCTTGATGAAGATAAAATATTCTGATTTTGAATGAAATGCTCATGAAATCATCTACAAAATGAAATGGCTGTAAATGACAATACAGCATGATTACTGTACATAAATTTGGGAGTTCCCTAGTGGTACTCACCATCTTCAGTAACAACACTTTGAAAAAGGGCGTTACAACAAATTTTCCAGCAGCGATCCAACAAGAAATCTCCTTTTGATTGGTGGTATATAAAGATACCTAAGGTATATATATAAAGTATTATAAAATATATAAAGTATTTGTGGGCACTATTGGTGGTAGGTAGATGGTTGGATTAGATGATCTGAGAGGTCTTTTCCAACCTTAAGGATTCAGTGATTCTAGAGTTCAGCCAAAGATACAGAATGCATATAGTTGCCTTAAACCTTTGGCTGTAGTTATTACATCCATCAGCTGAAAACCTTCTTTGCTCAGGTATAATTTATTCACATTAGTCAAAATCAGTGTTTCTTTGCAGCTGCAAAATCTGATCCAGTAAAATGAACATTAAAATGAACATTAATCAGATGTCTTCTTCGAGAACATTTGTCTTTTTTTTTTTTTATTATTTCACCTTTCTTCATCTTCCTATAATTACTAGCAGAGCAGAATGTAATTTCGTTTTTTCTACCTTCATTTCATAGCCACTGAGGTCTTAGATATCTGAAATGTACTGTCCACTGGAGATTGCAATCTGCTTTGTGTAGCTCTCGGATATATTTAAATCTTTTTACCCTTCAAAGGCTGGTTGAAAGAAGTGTTAGGTCATTATTTCAGGCGGTAGCTTAATGCTCAGGTTTAACAGTATATGATCTCTCTCCACTGTTCACCAAAGACCTTCATTCAGTGAAGGTCAAGGTATTAGAATGCTATTTTTAAAGATACACCCAGCAGTAAAGAGTTAAAAATAGACTCCTACAAAAACGTCCAGTAATTGGTTAAACCTTGTTAGGCATCACATGAAGATGATAACTCCTCCCAGGAAAAGACATAGCAAAAGCAGCTTTGACATGGATTTATACTTAGAAGAGCAGCTGCAGGCTTACTGGGAAGGAGTTCACAAGACAGACTCTTCAACAACTAGCAGAAAAGGAAAAAAACAAAGCTTCATTCCGCAAAGGAAGGGAAGGAAATAGAAGGCATTTTTTTTCTCATCATGATCTGCAAATGAATTCCATGGATTCTCGTCTTTGGAACAATCACCAATAGACAGAGAGCCTAAAAATATGGAGCTGGGAAAGGCGAAACTGCTGAGAACCGGCCTCAATGCTTTATACCAAGCCATCCATCCTGTGCACGGAATTGCCTGGACAGATGGGAAGCAAGTGATACTGACTGCTTTATACTACCATAATGGAGAGCTGAAGTTTGGAGACTCAAGTGTTGTTGGTCAGTTTGAACACGTGCATGGGCTTTACTGGGGCCCATGCTGCTCTACAGAGACCCCAGCTCTGCTTGCTGTTCAGCATAAAAAGCATGTTAGCGTTTGGCGGCTGGGCCACAGCACTGCGGAGAAAAACAAACCCTTGATTTCTCAGACTTGTGAAATCGGTGAGCCGTTCCCATTGCTTTCCCAGGGCTGTGTGTGGCATCCAAAAAAGGAGGTCTTGGCTGTCCTTACAAAAAGAGATGCTTCAGTCTTGCATACTGTTCGAACGGACAATACCAGAGTTAAGGCAGATATCAAAAGCAGTGGGCTTATTCACTGTGCTTGCTGGACTAAGGATGGTAACCGCTTAGTAGTTGCTATAGGCAGCACCCTGCATTCCTATATATGGGATGATGCTCAAAAAACTCTAAATGCCTGCTCCTTTTGCCCAGTCTTTGATGTGGGAGGCTATATCTGTGCTATAGAAGCCACGCTGGATTTCCAAATTGCTGTAGCTACTGAGCTTCCTTTAGATAATATCTGTGGTTTGAACGCAGGCATTGCATTTGATATGCCATCTGGTGCTGAAACTAGTTCTTTAACCTCGCAGTCTACTACAGCACTTGGTGATGAAGAGTACTCCATGGACCTGCGAAGAAAGTCCACAGACTCTGACAGATCAGGCACTGTTGATTCAGTAGCTTCTTCTTCATCAGGTCCTTTGGATTTAACCCACATCCTTGCAAATCACCGTCGGTCTGATCCCAGTCCTCTCATTACTCTGAAACGCAAAGATTCTGCAGCAATGAATGGTCAAGATTCTTCTTACCTGATCTTGGTGACTTTTGAAAGGAAGGTAACCACCACCAGAAAAGTCAACATCCCAGGTATTCTGGTTCCTGATATAATGGCTTTTGACCTCAGAGCTCAGATCGTGGCAGTAGCCTCTAATACTTCTAACATTGTTTTGGTGTATTCAGTAACCTCTTCCTGCATGCCCCATATTCAACAAATCCAGCTGGAAAAAAATGAAAGACCAAAAGGCTTATGCTTTTTGTCAGATAAACTCCTATTGATATTAATTGGGAAGCAGAAATTCCCTGAGCTGAGTCTTATTCCATCTTCAAATTCAGACAGGTATGTAATGCGCTTGATGATCAAAGAACTGATGCTGGAAGAAGATGCTTCAACGCTGCCAGACACGAAGCAGCATATGCTTTATAACTTTGTATCGTCTGTGAACATACCTGGAAAAAGAAAGTTCTTTGAAAACCTTGCCACAGAAGACCAACATCAAAGCAGAGACCTGTTAATACCAAGAAGTACAGTTATTCAGTCTCCCAGCGGCAGGAGAAGACTCATCGAAGAAGTGAAGAGCCCTAGTTATGAGCAGAGCTCTTCATCAAGTGTTAGTGACTTGGATGAGAAAAAGCTCCCAGGTGACCCCTCTGTTGCCTTAGAAACTTTGGATGCTGAACCTATCAATCGTTCAATGGCTCTTCTTGGTTTTGGAACAGCTACCAGGCTTTCCAGCAGACCAGCTGCCCCTAAAGTGCAGTTCAACGTAATTGAAGAAACATCGAGTTCTCCTAAAAACAACAATTTGCCAGGTGAAAGAGGCATGAGTCACATATCTAGAAATTTAGAGAGACTCTGTGGCAGTTTCAATGACTTACAACTGAGTCTTTCTGAAATAACAGACTTTGCTAAAAATGGGAGAAGGGTATCTTTAGCCTACCCAAGTTCACAAGAGCCACCGGTCATTCATATCACTTACCAGGTAAACTTTTCTTCAATTTAAAAACACTGTGATGGGGCACTGATGTTTTACACTATCTTTTATTTGTATCACTTAAAAGCAAGAGGATGCAGTTTGATTCTTGTCAACTCATGAGAAATGTAAACTGAGTTTGGCATCAAGCTTAGTTTTAAATGGTATTATGATTTATTATTGAAACAGTAACTAAGGATGTTGTGAGTGACTTAGAGGATATTTCACACGGGAGGTCTGTGTCTTCTTTCCACAACTTCGTAGCAAAAGTCTTGCACAGTCGCTGATTCTGGGTGCAGCTATGAAATAAGAGAACAGCTATGCAGTTAATGTTGTACAAAAAATATTTATGTGCTAGCTTAGTGTAGAGATGAGCCTACAAGTAGCCATAATTAGACATCCCTGCTAGAAACCTGATCGATTCAAACCTAAGCTCAAATCCAAAATTTGAACGTAACTGGACTCTCATGAAGGCTGAAGCAAAGTAGTGAATCTCAATTTATGGACAATTCAGATGCAGATGATACAAAGTTGGCTTATTTCTACTTGTCTTACTGCTAGTCTTCACACAGCTGGACATAATCAATTTGCAAGTTTTATCACTTCAAATTTTCAGAAAAAAATCTGCCAGTATGTAATTATCATTTCATTAAATAAAGATCTGAATGTCAAATCAAATTCCTACCCCACCCTTGTTTTGGCAAAATTCCTACTGGCTTCAATAAGAATTTCAACTTGGGAACATAGCAATAATTTCTTGCTATAATTCTTAGCATTATTAGCAGTAATACCGATATTATACTGATAATAGTTTTGGTTGTGCTAATACTCATTGTGTTGCTGCTAAAACTGGGATTCCTTACAGGATGTTGATGCCAATTTCAAATGGATTCTTATCTATTACAAGATGAGCAGAATTATGCCAAGTAATACATTTGTTTCACAGTGACGATGCCAAAGTACCTGTTTCTTGAACAGATTTGACTCACAGCTATACAGCCTCCTTTCACTTGGAAGGATAATACAGACATCTAAATATCCCTCCATAAACACTCATTAAGGGAACCGTGACTCCATTCAAAAATATTCATTAGTTCTTAGCAATTGTTCACGTGGCATTTTAGCAGATTCTTGTATGCTAAGTAGACTGGATAAAAGCAAAGCTTTTGATCTGAATTAGCACCATAACTTTGATATATTATATGAATTCTGGTGAAAAAAACAAGATGCCTTTTGAAAATAATTTAGGATTTTGTTTGCCAAGAAACATGCTCTTCTGTTCTCCAGCATGTTCAAATTAATACTGTTTTCTTAATACAAATCAATTTATTTATTTTACAAGCAGCTCTATCTCTTGGATTCGATAGGATTAACCTTTCCAAAGAAAAGTTCTGGTTGTGACACCTAGCATTAATCTAAGATCTGAATTCACTGTGCACGTGTTGACTTACACATGCAGTAAGAAATAATTTTCCAGTTTATCTCTTTGGGAATAAGACAATAAAACCAGCAGGCCTAAGATACTGCCAGACTAACTACATTTAGAAAAGCAGTCTCTTATTTCTCTAAGCAGGTTAATTTTGCATTGAGCCAGAAGAAAGCCCCTCTAGTACTACATTATAATGACTCAGAAAAAGTGCCACTTCATGGCTTTCCAAAATACATAGCTTTTCTGTTTGAGCCTCACTTAATAGCTCCGCTTCTCTTCTGAAGTCTAACAGGATCACAAAATGATGCCAAAAGATAATGAAAAATAGACTGACGGCAAAAAGGTCTCCAGGCAGAGAAGGAAATATTTGCTTTGTAGGCAGCTAATAATTTTTTTCAGAAAAAAGTTGTTTTGATTAGTTTGCATTGAGACATCTGAACCTTGATTCTCCTCCAGGAGTTGATTAGCGCTCCAGGAGCTCAGAGAGCAGCTGGGCTGTGGGTTCCAGCCAGGCACTGTTCACAGTGCAGAGTCAGGAAATAGCTTTATTGCCTTATGATATAAATATCAGCCAGTGGAAAACATTCTAAACTTCAGGAACACTGCAGTCCAGTCCATAATATGGCCACTATCTGTCAATTTTTGGTGCCAAGTCTGTGTCTTCTTAAGTGTTTGCATAATCCCCAGCACAGCAGAGGCCCAATCTTGATTGAGAAATCCTTTGTTCTATTAAGTATAATGATCGATACTACTTAACCACATTTACACATTACAAATGTAAAAGTTTAAAACATTATGGAAAAAAAAAAAAGCAGCTGTAATTAACGGTCAGTTATGAACACTGCTGTGCAGAAGCAGTATTGACATCCAGAAAGATTCCAGTTCTGCTTAGAAAACCCTAACATAAACCAGAATGTATGTTACTTAATAATTCATAATATCTGCTTACTAAATAGTCTTCAAAACCTTTGTTTATCCTGTTACTGTCAGCCTGCCCATAATTTCTCTGAAGTCACGTCCATGCAGCGCTACCAGAATTTATATGCTTTGTAGCTCACGGCCATAAAAGAAAAACATGATCACTCACACTTCGGAAATGTCACCGCACTATCACTTGTGTAATAGCATTCAGCCACCAGAGGTGATTTGATCATTCAACCCTGAAAAGCAAATATTATTGCTCTTTCATCACATACAGACTTGTGATTCAGGCTCGCGTGGGAGGGCAGACAGACAGATGCAATAAGAAGATACTATTTAACAAGAAAAAAAGAAGTGAGGGAATTTATTTCTGTTTCATTTTGCAAAAAAAAGATACTTTTCTTATCCATTTTCTCATCCATCTCCCAGAAAAGAAACAGCTGCAGAATATTTAAACTAGCCTCATTCAAAAGCTAATTACAGTGGAAATAAAGCCAATCTGGATTTGAAAATAATGGCATCGAGGCAAACCTCTCCAGAAGGAGTCAGATTCTTTCTTATCTGAGGAGTATCGTACAACTCCTACATTTTGCTCACAAGCAGCACTGTGTCAAAAATCTGTATTGCTGAAAGCATGTATTTCATGATTAAACTGGAAATAAACTTCTTTTCAGCAATCACCAGGATTTCCCTTTCTTAACCTTGGCCAACAATTGTATATAAATCAGTTTGTCCTTCTCTGATATCTTTCTATAAATCACTATAGGAAATTTTATCGACAAGGTCAGCTGTGAAATAAAAGTTTTTATGCAGAGCTGGGAGATGAATAGAAGGGGTCCAAACACATCCCACTAATTTTTTATTTTCTTTTTAATACAAATAAATAGAGTAGAGATAAAGGAGGAGGACTGCACAATGGTGACAGGAAAGTAGGCAAAGACATAAGGAGAAACTTGAATGATCAGTTATAAGAAGAGCATGAACCTCCTGAAAAACCAAAAGGCAATTTTGGCTTGAGTTGAGCAATAGAAAGAAAGTCATGAAAATGATGGAAGAGGAAGGTGTTCTGACTGCTCCCCAGAGTAAGAACTAGTCATCTCGAAGTTTAGAAGGGAGAGATTTAGGAGGACCATAAAAGACCTGCAGTAGCCAAGACGAGGTGTGATTAATGCCTGGACAACATTTTGAGCAAAGATTGGAGGATCTGTTAAGAACAAATTCTGATGACGCTGCTGTGAAAGTGATCAATAGCAGACAAGCGGGGTCTGCACAGGAGATGTGACACCTTTTATTAGGCCAGATCATTTGGTTGTCAGATACACAGACGCAAAAGAGAAAGGAATATGTAATGTCAAAACCGTAGCCAAGTTTTTGTACTGAAAGAAAGTTAAGGTTCAAGTTTTTTCTTTTTTTTCTTTAAGAATAGCTCTCGAAGATCAGGAAGCACATGAATGAGGGAATAAGGTGCATCTTAGATAACGAGGCACCAAAACATTAATTGTAGAACTATCAGCAGGGAGCCAAGAGCAGAGAAGTCCTAGCGTTGTATCATCGGAAGAGCTGAAGTCCTTCTGTGTGCTATAAATGCAAACTGCACTGGGATTTGAGCATCCCTGAGCACCTCAAATCTCTTCTAAACATTTGACTGGCTTATACTTCTCTCACATTTTATAGGGTCGCAGTTGGAATGTCTCACTTAAGGGCTTGTGGGGATACTGAGAACTCCACCAAAATAAAATCAGGATCTGCCAAAAGCAGAACTCATGGAAATGGAAGCAGCCCAGGCAGTCTGGACTGGTACCTGTAGCAATGCTGCACAAAGCTTCCAGACAGGCAGTGCCTTGAGTATCAGAAATCACAATTCTTATTCCTCTTCAGTGCTCTTCCTCAGCCATTCAATTATCTTTCATTGTCTTCTTGGTCGGATCTCTCATGTTTATACGATTTGACAGCTGTCTTGCATCCCACACAATGAGTGCGGGGGCAAAGCAAGAGCGAGCTGACTAATAGGTACTAAGGCATCACAACTGAAGTTGCAATGAAACACAAACCAAAGAGCTGAAATCGAGGGTGTAAGAAAAAGAAAACAGAGTTCTAGGCAACTACAGCCCTTCTTCATCTAACAGTGCATAGATAGGACTGACTAACCTGATACTTCTCCTCTATAAAAGAACAGATTATGAACACAGAAGATATGAAGAACATTTAAAATATCTGTGGTTCAACACAGCACTCAAAATTGTGCCGTAGGGAAAATTATTGGTTTGACAGCAGAGAATTGGGATTAATAGAAGAAGTGTAAGATGGTTACCTGCTTTAGCAAGGGGTTTGGACTCTGATCTCTCGAGGTCTCTTCCAACCCCTATGATTCTGTGGTTCTGTAGTTAAAAATTGGCTGGGAACTGTATAGGACATGATTGTAATAATATAAAAGAAAATGGAATAAATTTACTTATGGATTTGCCTATGATCGATCTTCAGGCTAATCTAAAAGTTTCATAGAATCATAGAATAACCTGGGTTGAAAAGGACCACAATGATCATCTAGTTTCAACCCCCTGCTACATGCAGGGTCACCAACCACTTTTGTGATAAGCTATTAGAATCTCTTTATGGCCTAATGTTGGTAATATTTTCAATAGAGGATCAAGATATCACACCTATAATTTGATGTCCTTAACATTTAGAATAATAAAAATGGATTGAAATGAACTGGTTTGAAGTGCATAGTGGAAATACCAGTATTGAGAGCAAAAATTGATGCTGTAAACTGGATAATCACACTGTCTGGAAGCAGCTGAGAAAGAGAAAGGCTTGCATGTGTTAAGTGAATGCAAGACAAGTGTCAATCAGGAAGATGATAAGTTTATGAAAAGAATAAAGGCAGTTTTTTAATGCACTGGGGAGGTATACGCAGAAAGAAACGCAGTGTGAGGCTTCATCTGGAGTTTGCATTTCTAGACATCCATGCGCAAGAAAAACACATTCAAACTGCATGCAGTTACTAACCCAATGTTAGTACAAAACATTTTTGGTTGGTAGTATCATGAAGAATATCACAGTTTCATCAGTCATTGAATTTAAGTTCACAAAGATGATCTTTGCATCCAGGTAATTGTAGGCTGTGAGTTAGAAAATAAAAGATACGTAGACAGAAGGCCCTGGGGGCAGAATTGGCTGGCTGCTCAGTGGGATGCAAACAAAGCTATAAAAGAAGGCTATTTATTATGCAGTCATAGAGTGTACAGCACCTAATCCAGGAACCTTTTTGGGTTTGTTTGGTTTTTTTTTTTTTGCCTTAATAAATTATTTTCTTCCCATATATATTTGTATTCCAAAACAAGAATTTTGAAAGACAGATTGGCAACACTGTGACCGGCTGGCTGCAGCCCAGAAGATCCTTTGTAGGCTATAAAAAATGATCGAGGGGCAGGCTGACACAGATGAAGGAAAGCAGTTGTTGAATTGATGGTTTGTTTCTGTTGGATTTTTGTTGAGGGAGGGTTGGACCTGAGAGACTACAGGAATTTGGCTACAGAAATTTTATCTGAAAGTATCCGCTCGAGTATGTGGAAATATATTTGTTTATTCTGTGGTTAATGTGTGCTAAGTACATCAATAAACTTTGATTTAGAATGAAACAACCAACAGTAAGGGCTTTAAATATGAAATCTTCAAGTCCTCGTCTGCTTCTGCTGGAGATTAACAGCAGCACTGCAAAACAGATACATATTTTAGGAAGTGGACAATTAAATTGAGATTTGACCAGAAAATTGTTGTTGGGTTAAGGCATGAAAATGGCAAGTACTAAAGTGAGATTTCATTTGTGCTTCTAACTTTGTCACAAATTACCTGCATGACCTTGAGTAAATCTCTTAATCTTCTGGTGTAATGGTTTGATCTTCTATAAAAAGAGAATAAAAGCAGTTACACAGCTCTCAAGAAAGCACACGTGTGTGAACATACTCCTCAAAGAGAAATGTTATCATCACTTAAAGCAAACGTTAAACAAAAGAAACTAACAAACAGAAGAGAGAAAAAGAAAAAATCTTGAGCAGAGAGAATTTGTCAGCAGACAAAAATAAAATGTAACTGTGATCACGTTTAACGTGATGAGCAGGAGTGTGTGACAAAGACAGAAGAATCGATATGAAGGCCCCAAAGAGATGAAAGACAAGCACCTCTGAAATGTAAGCTTTGATGTCTGTACTTGAAAAACTGTAGAACCATAGGAAAGGATAAAAACGAAATATTGTGTGGTTTTGTGTATGCAAAAAAGTCTTCCATTTCTAAAGGCCATTAAAGTAACCTTGCATGGATAAGTAGAAATCATTCTAGAACAAAGTCATCCACATCCATTCAACTGCTTGCAAGTCAACAGAGGCACAGCTAGATTATTTGCTGATTATTTTTGAGCTGATGCATATCTAATGAAAAAAATCACTTGGGTACTTGTCTCAGTTGAAGCCCACCTCTTTTTATAATTCATTAATTGAGGTACAAGTCTGAATAAACGCTGGTATTTTATCCTGAGATTGGGAAAATGAAGTAGTTGTTAGATATACTGATCCACTTTATGCAGCAATGAAAAGCTCTGTACCAATAAAATACCTGTACAGGCAAATAGCATCTTTGGAGTGCAAATGCAATGCATGTGCTTGTGCTGAAAATCCAGTCCATTGAGTTTCAATTGTATTTAGGTTCGATAGAATATAATGCCACATAATTTGAAGAGACCTAAAAACGACAAAGTTCTGTTATATTGGTGGAAAGTGTGGAGAGGAAAGATCCAAATGAAATCGGCAGAACAAAAGTAGAGCAAGGTTGTTTAGAAGCAAATGGCTGACTCAAATATTTTAATAATGGCATTAAGTCACTGGAAAAGTTTTAATGTTAAGACTGACTTTCAAAGGATAGCAGGAAGTTGTAAATGCAAATATATATTCATCCCATACTAATATTAACTCAGCTATTCTGTGGTCCTTGCACTTTGTAGTAATCTGAATGACAGAACATAATGTTGTCAATTCTCAAGACCAGATAAACTTCACAAATGCCACCTCAACTATGCCAGCTTTACCTTTAAAGTGTATTTTTTGTGAATGTTAGAGCAGCTTCCAGGGAAGTGAGTCCATGTATTCTCTCTATTTAAAAAAAAAAAAAAAAAAAAAAAAAAAAGCCATACAGTTTCCAAGGTAGATTGTTATGACAGCTTTTCAAAGAGATTGTCTCCATGAAATTTGCTCTGTGCCAGAAATGGGGGATTTTACTGGGGTGGAATAGCTGAATGATGATTATAATGAACACCCACATGTAGCACTGATAGCGAGCAGAGCACTGGCTTTGGCAGTGTAAGATATAAGCTACTTTCTACTCGTTACCATATATTCCCTTTCATTGAATTTACCATTAAGGCAGAAGGGCCCAATGGACACAAGTACGTGTGGTCTAATACATTACATATCACAGACCAAGCAGTTTTGAGCTGCGTAAGCACAAAAAGCAAAAACCAGAGGCAAACGCTTCTTCACGTGGGACTATGAGGTTGTGGCATTGATAAACTGTAGCAATAACAGAGAAAAAAAGAGCAAAATTATTCAAGAACTGAAAGGACTATGAGTAGAGGAATGGTTAGAAGAACTCTGGTAAAATATCTAAGCCTTTAACGAGATCTTTTCTTTTGCATATATGTGTTTGAAGAAAAATTTTTCAAATGGAGCAGTTACTGAAGAAACAAAAGATGTTCTCCTCTGTGATGGCAAGATCCATTTGAATTTAGTCCAGCAGCTGTTTGACCTGACCATTATTGAAATGAAACACGGTACGTTCTTTCTATTTCAAGTATCTGGTTTCAACTGAGATTTTTAGTGTAAATGAGGCACTTGTGGTAATTATCCCGTACTGTAGAAAATGGTGATAGCTAAATTCACTTGAATGCTAATTGCAGAGCTACCTATTACCGGAGTGATATGTTGGATGCCTCTGCAGAGGAAGACTGAGAAAATAGTCAGCCCGCTGCATTATATGGAAACAGAATTTCTTCCTTATGAGACCTTTTGGTATTCTGCCTTTTCTGTCTGCACAACATGTCTCACACCTGACAATAAGGAATAGGCTGGAGGAAAATTCACTCTCGGAACGCAACAGATGTGTGTCGTGTAGCATTTGGGATTCTTTGACTCTAAGACAAACAGCAAAGCTCAGGGCTCTAATTTTCCCACCACACATTTACCACCACCATCAATTAACTTATAAATGCAGACACTACTAGGGGAAACCCAGCCCCAGACTGGTCACTGAATTACCTTGTCCCTGTCTGTTCATGCATGCTACTTTCTCAGCAATATACAGATTATTTTTCTTAGCCATTGCTCTATGATACTTCTAAAGGCTTTTCTCATCTCAGCCTAGACAGATCAAGATCTTGAGGTACAAAGTATTGGCTGTAATTATGATCTGCTTGCACTGTTTCCCCACGGAGAGATCCACAAGTAACTCACTGTCTTGGCCCTCAGCCCCTGCAGGCTGAGACCCGTCGGCTCAATCAGTACAGCCAGAACTGAATTTGACTCTTGGTGAAAGCACAATGAAAAGGCCAGTAATAACACTCTGATTTTCCAAATGACTGGCGTGTAATAGGCTAATTGATAAGAAGGCTACATACATACTACAGATCAGGGAAGTGCCTTTCACCTAGGCATACTGGGATATTTCAGTTTTTCCCTGGCTTTCTGAGAGTTGCTCCAGAATATAAGGATATGCAGCTTCTGTATTTTTGAAAGCAGTCTCTCTTAACACTGCACATGCAGTGAAGGCCGATATGAAAAGATCAGGGCAGCCTGGTCTGGTGGTTGGTGACCCTGCACACAGCAGGGGCTTGAAACTGAATGATCATTGTGGTCCTTTTCAACCCAGGCCATTCTGTGATTCCGTGATAAAAAACCTTCACTTGCTGCAAAGGCCTGAACTATTTCTCAGCAGGCTTCTGTGATAATGCAATGTAGATAATGCTATCTTTTGCAGGGCAAGAAGAATGTAATTTTTGGCTTGTATTTCCACTTCTTGATTTTGGAAGGAAATGCCCATAATGAAACCAGGTTTTCATGGCCCATTATTCAGTATGAAAATGATAAGTGATGGGATGGAGAATGCCTATTTTCAGCTCAATGAGACGACTGAATATTCAGTTAGTAGAACTCGACGATTTCCTGAGTCAGACTTCAGAACCCTAACGTGTCCCTCTGCCCCTCTGCCTCTTCACTGCGCTGCTTGGCGTTTCAGAAATCAGATCTGTTGCCAGCAGAAAGAAAGACTGAATCAAGAATCACTCTGAAACTCCCCATAATCCTGAAGAACTACCAGGTTCTGGGCAGAGGTTGTTATGTATCGCTTCATTCACTTACGATCAGTAGAGGTATAAATTCCTAAACCTTTCCTTCGCCACTATGCTTGAATATTAAATTTGGCGTTTAAAAATGTCACTCCCATTCTTTAACATTTTACAATTAAAAGAGATGTAATCAAGAGCATGCTTATACTGCAGTGGCAGTCCTGCATTTTTTTAGCTATGAATATACGCTTAAACTTGAATATATTGAAATATAGAAGCTGATAACTGCAGACCAAATTCATACCCACGGCGAAGCTATGAAGATCATAACAGTTATAAGAGCAATGAGCTTGGCCTCATCATGTGTACGTTAAGTCCAGAACTATAATAACATTACCTGTGCTAAATATAACCTGCCACACAGAGCCCTGGTATTAGCACACTACATTAAAAGTCACTCTTTTCTGAAGGTTATCATGGTAAGAACCTGGCATAACAAAAGGAAAATGCATTCAACATAAGGTTTTCCTACCTTCAATATATATATTATGTGGGTTATGCTTCAAAGCAACTGTTAGCAATTACACAGAGAACTTCAAATGTTTCAACAGGTGAAAATAAAAAGTCCTAAGAGTACGACAAAAAGAATATGCTTTATTAATTTGACCACCAATGTAACTATCAGTTTGGATGGCAGAATTTCCACTTCTAGGCCCATTGTTTTCAGAATCTGAAGACTGTCCAGAATAAGAAAGTATTAAGAGCAGAAGATTAAAGATTCGTGGTTTGGAATGACAATCTTCTTATGATGTAACAGGTGACATGACAACGTGGAATAGTGCAGCCTGGAAAGGTGCTCTCTTAATGGTATAAAGAGGGGAGATTTGCTTTGTCCAGTAAAATGGTTTGCTATGACAAAACCTAAGCCTATATCCCCTACATTTTCTTATTCCACATTCTTTTTAAAAACAGTTTTATGTCTCCAAAATAAAAATCTGAACAGCAACTGTAACAAGGCTTTCTTTACCTCAAATCCCAGCCAATGGCAGCACCCAGCCACGACAGGATCATACCCTCCAAGAGCAGTGTGTGACACCAAGGCTCCTGCAATGCTTACCAGCTGCTACAGTTTGTTTGCATTTTTTTCCTTTCCACAAAATGTCAAACTGAACAAAAGACAGAATTTTCTGTAACAGCTGCAGCATCCATCAGGAAACAGATGAATCATTGGAGAAAAAATAGTACAGATCGCTTCATTTCCAAACTTACTTTCAAAGGAAGGTAAAATTGAAGGGTTAAGTTTAATTTCTGTTTCTCTGCGATATAGAAAGTGAACCTGAATGATTTTGATGTCTTTTTCATGTAATCTTGTCTCTTATTTTTCAGGAAAAAAAACCAAACACAAAACAAACACATGAAAAGTATCATCTGAATTTTGTTCAGTCTCTTCTCTATAAAAAGTTCTGATTAATAATTAAAGAATGAAAAATTTTATAGTATCAATTCTGTAAATCATCAAGCTGTAACTTCCATTTGCTATATGAATTTGTAAGCATACTGCACAACCCTGGCTTAGTGTAGGAGAAGAAAACCCCTATTTTCCTCTAGTTTTTCTTTACCAACTCCTAGAAGGAGTCCAGTGGAGGGCAACAAGGATGATAAAGGGCCTGGAGCATATCCTGTATGAGGAAAGGCTGGGAGGCCTGGATCTGAAGAGAACATTGATCTGATCAGTGGTCATAAATATCTGAAGTGTGGGAGGCAGCTGTTTGAGGCCAGGCTCTTTACAGTGGTGTGTAGAAATGGCTAAAGACTTCAAATCCCTGCAATTCTGTGATTCATTGTTTGGGTACAGCAGATGAACAAATGGGAGAAGCAGGGGTGGATCAAAGTTGGCATGGAAAGGCTGTCTGAGGTTTCAGAAAATGGAGATATTCATTGTTTATCAGAACTGGCAAAGATACGTGTTTTTTTTTCCAGTTAAGTTCAATAAGGTTTGATATGAGAGTGGTGAGGTGCTGGAACAGCTGCCCAGAGAGGCTGTGGATGCCCCGTCCATCCCTGGAGGTGTTCAAGGCCAGGTTGGATGGGGCCCTGGGCAGCCTGGGCTGCTATGAAATGTGAAGGTTGGTGGCCCTGCTTGTGGCAGGGGGTTGGAGCTTCATCATCCTTGAGGTCCCTTCCAACCCTGGCCATTCTGTGATTCTGTGATAAGGTACAAAATGCCTTAAAACTTTCAAGAGCTTTCATTTTGCCTCCCTTTGCATTTATACAAAGGTGTGTTTAGCACGGACTGCCAGGTCTTAATGCCATGAAGGTAATGAGGCTTAGTGCAAAAGGAAGCCCACTCTGCTCATGTGCCAGATGACTGTTTTAAAGCATCACTGTGCCATTTATATAACCAGAGCAGTGCACTCATTTTCTTTTTTGCTTAACTTTTGTAGGCTCTTCTTGGATCGTGCTCACTGCAGACAAGGACGGCTTTGTGCCATTAATATTCAAAGCAAGACAGGACATCATCATAAGGGATGGAACTGACAGTTCAGAAGTCTGCGGTCGTCACTCCTACAAAAAGGGCAGTTTAATGCAGCCACCAAGCAGAGTGACATAAGAGCTCACCAAAAAACACCAATGACCCCCTTTTTTTTTTTGCTGAAGCAATACAGAGATGTTCTGTGGCATCAGACACTGAATGACTAGAAAGTTGTCTTCACTACTTTCAATATATTTGGACTAAAATCTGGGGCACGGTCACACAATAGCTCAGTCCTAGGGTTGACTGCACCCTCATGATGTCTTCAGAATGATCAGACCTAGAATGGAGTTTACCAGTGTTATTAATTGTTATTAACAACGTTTTGTTATTAATGACTGCCAGTGGACTGGAGCAGTGACAAGACTCCAGTTGTGGTCAGGATGTTCTGGGAGAAACAACAATATGCTGAAAATCATGCAGTAAAAACCAGCCTAACCAATATGGGAGTACAGCCCACACAAAAGCTGGAGAAAGTGCTACTAACGAGCATTTATACCAAGGAAAACTGCAAAAAGAGAAGGGAAAGCACTTTTTGGCTCTATATGAAGTTCCTATGGGTCCCATGGAAACCTGCAACATTTTCAGAAATGCGTAATTCTAACATGAAAACGTTCAGCTACAAATACAGCTGCATCACTGCGTCCTGTCACAGTCTCACACAGCATGGAGATTTATACATGCACACTGAAGAGAAAGGAAAAAAAAAGAAACAACTTGTCAGGTAAATTAAAGATCAAAGACATTGAGTGTAAATGTCATTTGGCTAAATGCAGAGGTCTGTGCTGAACTTGCCATCCTGTATGATCAGACAAATAAAGGAAAACACCCCTATAGCAGATTATTCGTGTCCTACCATAGTTTCTAATAGTGGTCATGGTGAGCCATCCCTATTGAATAAGTAATTAAGTGCCTATTCCTTTCTAGTGGCTGCAAAGCAAGCTGCTGTGATTGCTCTGAATTCAGACATTTACATTTATTCAGATGAACCTCACTCTGAGAACAGTTTCAATTCATTGAAATAAGTAATGTCCTTCTCATGCAAACGCCTTCCCAGAGACTGAGACATCATCATTCTAACAAGCCTGCAAACTCAGGTGTGAGATGTAGCTGGGTGTATTTGTACTGCCAGATTTCTAAGTGATGTAACGTATTTTGAAGAAGCAAAATATATTTGAACAACATCCTCGTGTCTCACAGCAGAATCTGGTGTTTAAAATATATAGGCCTGGGGCCAAGTAAACTTAAATTGTAATTAACTAGAAATGATGGAAGGATATATTTTATAAGAATATTTAGGCTAAACTAAGGGAAGAACTAAAGGGAATGTTTTTGGACAAGTATTGCCTTCTAAAGGGAATGGTGATAGTCCCACAGGTTGGTCCACTTATACAAGGCTATTGAAACACAAAATGTGTGTTATATGGCGCAGATCCGCACTATGAACATACAAAATTGAACAAAACCAGGGCTCAGCCTCCCAGGTTGGTTACACACCAATGCACTTCCATCTGCACTCCATAGTTTCTTTGAGTTTGTGATATGCATTATTCCAAAGGATTCCTTGTTGGAGGAATACTTGTGTTCCACCTTTTGTCAACTTCATGCCTTAGTGCCATCACAGCAACCAAGGGGGGAAATCTTAACTATTAAGATCAGGAAGTGTGTGCATCAAAGCTGCCTCCGAACTTATAATTATCACTAGACATTTCAATGTCAGCCTGCCACGCTACCATTTTAATTGTGTATGTGCTGCTTTTCTACGAAACGATCTGAATGTCGAGAACAGGAATGAAAAGAGCTTCTGTGCCAGAATGGCTATCAAAGTTTGGTTTGGTTCACTGGAGATAAAAGGAGGCCAACAAACTTTCAGATGACAGAACAATTAGTTTCAGGGCATAGCTGACTGTTATGTTCAAAAACTTAATTCTGTGATGTTTAACAAACTTTTTTTAAATTGTTGTAATTCGGGGACATTGTTTTCCCTTGCTGTATGATTCATGGACCAAAGTAGGAACCAGTCTGTCTGAAGGCATTATTGTTACTCAGCACAATTAGTCTAGTTGCAAATGGGGACCCCAGTTCTCATTTGAGGACACTGAGAATTGCACAGGACAGCTTAGGAGAAGCGTTCTTTACAATCAATGACAAATTAATATATTAAAAAACAGCAACACCTTCCATGCTTCTGAACACACATCACGCACATCTAAATCAATTTGAAAATGTTTAAATCATATGCATGCAATTACAACTAAATGACTCCTAAGCGAAGAAATATTTGTTTACAGGTAATGATTTAGGGATCCAGTGCAGAAGTATTTTATATAGTGTCTATCACAGGGCTGTAAATTTAAAATTGAAAGTAATAAAAGCACTGGAGGAAGCGCAGAAGGGATTTATGCAAAGCAGAGGATAAATTTTCAGCTTTGGTTTGGATGGAGAACAGATGGAGAATCAGTGAAGTAGAGAGATAGAAGACTGTTCTATTAAGCACAAGCTGTACAGAAGATTTTTGCACAAACAATGAAAAGGCATGTGGAAAGATAAAACGAGTCTGGGCTCAGCTGAGCAGACCGTAGGCTGTGAAAAGGAGAAAAACACAGATTGGGAAGCATTCACCTTCCTCCAGCAAGGCTATTTTATATCCGGTGGCCAAAACAGAAAAAAGGGAAGAGTTGTTTGGGTGACCTCTGCGTTGTGAAGGGGCTGAACCCCTCTTCAGGCTCAGCAGAAAGCTTGGGCTCCTCCAGGAAGGCAATGAGGAGGAGTACCTGTGCTGACTCCTGCCTAGAGTCACCCTGTGGGGAAGTCTCTTTCATAATTTAGACAAAGGAAAGCTAAGGAACCTTGGGGCTTAAATTAGAAGCCAAAGCTTAACAGTTGCACTCAGTGTGTCACACTGGTGGCACTCGGAGCGCTTCATGGGATACCAGCTCCTCCTTCCCTTGTGGGGAATAAAGAGCATACCAGAAAATTTGAGTTCCATTTAAATTCCTCTGCATCTTTATCCGGCACATTTATATAGAACCTGATATATTTTAGGTGCTAGTATGTCATTACTTTCAAGTACAATCTGCTCCAAATTATAGCTGAAACTTACCTTACGTTCTCCATAACTTTGCTGTTAAACATGTGGCATCTGTTTCAGTCTTCCTGGTTCCTTCTGTTGCCGCCTCCTTGAGGGAGCTGCTAAGCGCAGGAGTGTTGTATGACAGGTGGTTGAGGTTTTTTCCCCCCTCTTTTGATTTTGAAAACAGTATAGTGAAAACAATAATAAACAATAGAAAAATGTCATGCGACAAAATGAAAGTCAGTTGCATGGCTGTTGGCCAATCTGTGGTGCTGACTTTGCACAGTGAAATATTTCCTTGGTATTCTTCGTAACAACTGAAAAGTCAGCGTTTACTGCAGGTGTATGAAGTGAAACCCTGCATGACCCTCAACCGTTTAGTTCCCCTTCTTCCTCTGCTATTACTAAAGACCTGGGTACCCTTGAATAAAGCTCCAGAATATTACTATCTGTACTCATGCTAAAAATCTCAGTTATGAATTTCCTTTTAGCACACTTCCAGTCGGTTAGACAGCATAAATCAAGCCTAACTTCCTTTTCCCTATTTGTGATTTTTATCTGTTTTCCCAGCTTGGACAATGAATGTATACCCTGTCTTAACATGAAACTGCAAGCATCAGACCAGTACTCCTTAGGACAAGAGGAGGTGGCCTTAAGTTGGGGCAGGTTCAGGTTGGGCATTAGGAAACATTTCTTCTCATAAAGAGCAGAGCTGCAATGGCACAGCTGCCCAGGGAGGTGGTGGGGTCACAGTTCCAGAACTGTGGGGATGTGGCACTGAGGGATGTGGGCAGTGGGCATGGTGGGCTGGGCTGGGGTTGGATTTCGGGATCTGAGAGGCCTTTTCCAACTGTAATGATTCTCTGATTCTCTGATTCTAAGGTGTAGACCAGAAGTCCTCTCAATCCCAACACAGTACTCCCTATTCCTAAACAACACTTAATAGTTTTACTAATTTGATCTTAAAAAAACCCCACCATACAGTCCTAGATTGCTAAGACGAAACAGCTCAATCCTTCAGGCTCATGTGACTTAACTTTAAAGCACATGAAGTCAGGCAAGTGAATCCCAGAAGTTATTCAGTATCTCACTTGAAGTTACGAACTTATTTCCCATTGTCCCACGCTGCAGAAATGAACTTATGTATTAGCATTACCTATTATATATGTTTAGATTTGTTAATTAGTGAATACTATTGCTTCAGCATTCTGCCAGATTGAGGCAGTTTCACCATCTCTGTTAAATGCAAACACACTTTGCGGAGGCTCAGCAGGTCCCTGCTGGTGCTGTTACCTAACAGAGGGCTGCCAGCTCCCCACTAATGGCATCTGGGTACCTCTCAGCTGAGTTTCCAGAGTGCTTGCTGCAGCTCAGCCTCTGTCTGCAGTGAGCCAGTGCTGTCCTTGAACTTTACCTTTCCTCCACTGTTATTTGACAAGAGTGTGTCAACGACCAGGTGTGATCAGATGTCTGGAGGCACGCGGTGCAGAAGCCCACACTGGCACAGGAAGACTTCCTGCACAGGAGGTGACATTTGCACAGACCTGCCAGTTAAAACCATTAGGACTTGACAACCTCTGTTCTTTGGCAAGGATTCCTCCCACTTGTCAGCAGGCACCATGCTATCCTAGCAGACAAGGGACAAAAGCAGCACAGATACGCAGTTATGGACACAAAATAGATGCATGCTGATCTGCACTGATACACCGTTATCTCAAAAGGCTTGGACCTGTAATCAACATAAAAGAAAAATGCAAGAGAGGGTGAGAGGGTGCTTGAAAAGCAGGATTAATCTGCAACACAGCAGAGATGAAAACAGTGCTTTCACAGATCAGTGACACGCCTGACTTAAGCAAATATATTGCTGGTTCTGAAAAAGTCTGTCTACAAATACCCTTGGAAAGATTATTCCAAAGGAATGCTATCATATTAAAAATCATTATGTAGAAATAATAGTTTTAACCAAATCAGTTATAAAACAGAACGTTTCTCATCAAAAGGCTCT